GTTCTTAGCTACTTCCTGTTTTAATGTGTACAAATTATCAATAAATAATTCAAGAAAAAACATGGGATGTTATTTCTTGACGCACTATATTAATCAATAACATAAATTCTTCTATCGTAAAAATAATTACAAACTTTAATCGTCTTTTTTTTTTATTAGTAATAATAAAAAATACTACGCTAATGCATGCGAGAAACGATTAATACAAAGTTTTGTCACTGGTGTCTCATTTTGAAATGTCAAAAAAAGTTGGACGCGGTGTAAAAAATTTTTTTATAAAAGAAAAAAGTAATTTACGAAAAGTTTCTATTTCCATAAAATTTACTAATTTATCTGGTGAGACACTTGTGTAAGACTCTCACTTTTAAAGTGTCAGCGAAAAAATAAAGTTGAATTTTTTTCAATTTAGACCATTAAATTTTCTTATTAAAAGCCAAAAAAATTCAATCGAGAGAGAGTAACTTGATTTTATGCTTTGAAGTATAAATATTTCAAAACACCCCCACATTGAGTTAAAAATTTTATAATGGTATATCCAAAAGACTTATAAGTTTAAGTAACATTGTTTGTGTTGTTTCAAAAAAATAAAATACTCCTGCATCTTGCCTAAAAGTAAGGATAAGAAAACCGAACCTTCTCGACAGCGAGATTTCTCCACATTCGAGAGAAAGTTAGTCAGTTTGTTCGCATCTTTTTACTTCTAACGTCCAAATATATACAGGATCGAGTATTTACAAATCTACCAACAATGAGCAGCTCTAATTTCACGTTCCATAAATACATCAGCTCGAAATCAATCATCTTATACTCGAACGAAAAAATGTATATTTATATTAAAAAGCACAGTCGTACGTTACGATTTAAAAAGAATCCATTGACCTTCATCGGAGGTCTTCTGCTTCCATAATGTAACACATAAATTACAGTAAATCAAATTAAGAAATTAAAAAAAAAAAAAAAGAACGCTCACCATCCTAGAGGCATACATATTTCTTTCTACATTTCGTTCTCAAAAAACAAACAAGCTTCGATTAGGATCTACAAAAAAACGTCAATCAAAAAGTACTTATATCCACACGCAAAATCAAAGTTTTGCTCCGAGCCAACACAAATCAACGTTCAAGTTCATCAGCGAGCAAAAATTATTGCCAAATCTCGTCGTCAATCATCATTGTCATCATCATCATCATTATAATCGTCGCCATCGCCGTATTAGGTAGACGACCTTCGCCCGATGCTTTAATATCCTTTCACCAGCGCGCCAAAGGCCCCTGCGGGCATTTCAGCTCTCGGCTCAGGTGCACGTCTCGCGTCGACGGCACGTCTCGAAAACTGCATTACCAACCGGCAAAATAGCGCGTTCGTTCCAAAGGAATTCCATGCTCGTTTGCTGTATGCGTGTGCCACTCGTCTCGAATAACATTCGTCATTCTACGGCCCATCGATTCAGTCTTTTGGGGCCTGCGCTTCTATTACAAGCTTCTCTAAACCCGCATGTGTATCCACGGGAAATAAAAATCGGCCGATTTTTACGGTTGCGCATTTGCGTGTTGTATTTTATTGTGCCTCACTGTACATCCTTTCATATATATTATACATACATATAATTTTTTTTTTTTTTTTTTTCATCAAACTGTTGTGTCAATTGGTAAAATACGAGAGAGCAAAAACTTACGATCGTAATGTGCCGAGATTGCGCGTGTCGATGGCGGCGGCGATTGTGTATTCCACGTATATTTGCCTGAACATCGCAATTGAGTAATGCATTTATATTTCGCTCGTCGTTCACATGCATTTTGCATGTCCATCGATTGGAATTGTATTCGAATAGGTTTGAATAAATTTTGTGCGTGCATTAGGGGATAAACCTGGTACGTGACGATTTCTTTCTTTTGTCTTCTGTTGTACTTTACCGAGTCTTATAATGAGACATGTTTTTTTAATTGTTTGTAAATACGCCTACACATGTGGGTAGTTTGGTGAGGAATCAGCTGTATTATTTTCTCAACTTTTCTTCCCCCAATCGTAGCTACGATGTTTCAATGTCACGCATCCACTCGAAGTTGTCATAGTGATTTTTTATGTGGATCCTGTGACATGAATCAAGTGAAAACGTAACCAATGCGTATGTCGCGATTAGTGCAGCGTCACGCTCGTCATACCTGTGCTGCTTGTGTCACTCGATTTCTCAATGCCGTCACCAATATACGAATTGGTTGACAAACGAGTTCCCAATTGTTGTCAAGTCCCATCGATTTAATTTATGTTCAACATAGTTTTATTTTGTTTACCTCATAGTGTCGTGAGCATAAAAGGAAAATCGATACGCACACCTGGTTACTAATCGACTTGAGTTTTACAGTCCCCAAATGCCTTTCACAAATCATTTCATTAAATATTTTTAAATAAAAGTGTTGATACGTCGGTAGAAAAATGGATTATTCCGATTTAAAGTTTGGTAAAGATATTATCTCGATTATCGGAACCAAAAAAGGTACAACTTTAGAAGGAAAACGAATGTCTTAAAATTTTAAGGAAATAAAGAGAAACTACTCGTAAAATAGTATTCATTTTTGCAAAAAAAAAAACTGGCAAGCTATAGTTTAAAATCAAAATGGTATTTTTTTATTGAATAAAAAAAATTGGATAACTTCATCCAGTAACAATGTAAGTAACAATAATTACACGTAGATATGAAAATCAGATCAAACCATCTTCCCAGAAAACCGCGATTCTTACATTCGCTTTCGATTTCCATCTTAAAGCCCGTACACAGCCCACGCAGTATATAGCCGGTGGTCAGTCAGTCGACTGTTGCTTGGCTCTATAGTAAGCCCTTCACTGCTCCCGTAAGCGCTTGTCCAATTAATCGGCTCGACGGTGCGTTACACTCACTTTCGCATTTGTGGCGCACGAGAGAGGATCACTTGCTATACTATACTAAGTGTGATTCATCCGTGCCACCACCACCACCACCACCACCGTCTTGGCTTGGCTTCGGTCGATGCCTTCGGATTTGCTCTTCTTCTTCTTCTTCTTCTTCTTCGGAGCCAGCTGAGTGTCGCTTTGTTTTTCAGCGCCAGCTTGGCTATATCCGACAAGACACCGTTCTATTTTCTATGGTCTGTTTTTTACGTTAAAACGCATTATGGAGGTTAACAAGATTAGAAACTCAATCTCTTTAACGATGCTGCGGTGTTGTTGTTTGTCCGTTTCGAAATTGGGACTGGGGTTTATTTATCTTTTATATGATTTTTGTGTTGCTGTATGTGGAGTAAGAAATTTCCGTCTCTTAATTTCAAAGTAATCGTAAGGGTAGTGCGGGATCGGTAGAACATTGTTTTCGTCGATCTTCCAAAAACAAGCGGAAATCACTTTAAAGTAAAAAATTTACATGGTAAGTAAGTTCCTCCGGTCGATTGTATTATTTTTCTTGACTTTCCTGTATTTTCTTGCGATCAGTTATAGTATATTCTTATAATCGCTCGCTGACACCATGCTATCGATCGTTGTTTGTTAGTACTATTGTCTTTCGATATTAATTTTTCATTAGAAATTATTTGTTTCGTTTTTATAGTTGTATACGCACCAAGTCTGCAATATACATGTTTTCGGAGCAGGATGTATTGATTAATACATCAGTCAGTCGGTGACATCTTCATAAATCAACAAAGTGAGCGAAAAAAGTTGTTGAGATGATCAAAGTAACAATACGTAATTCATTTATTAGACTCGTACATTAGAAAATCGTCGCCGCCGTGATTTGCTTATTATCAAGCGTATAACCGTGAAAACTTGTCACAACAAACATAATCCCACATACAACTTGTTGTGCTATATTTTTGAAGTAATCAATGAAGTAATAAATAAACTTTGACGATAACACAAAAAAATTATATGATCCAGATTTTAGTCCCTGCGTAAGAAAAGCGCCACCAAAATTGCGAGCCTCGACAGGGAACTGGTCGACGACGAGGGCGAGTGGCTTTCGTCGTCGAATCAGTCACTCATGGACCAAGTATCGCCGCTACGCGAGATACCGAGGAACGGCGATCCGAAGGTCGGCTTTGACTTTGAGCAGCTTTCGATCGCCGACAGCCGTCAAAATCGAGTGCTCAGGTAGCGTTGCGACAGACAAGTGACCTTATCACGTTCTTAGACAAAAAAACAAGTCTTATAATAAAGATACTGGGCTCTGAAGGCGTTCGAGCTTTTTTTCCCCAGAACAGAGAATGTATTTGATCGTAGAGAAGGGGCTCACGTAAATACACACGTCCAAGCATTTAATTATTTTTTCGAGATGAAAAATCATAAATGTTATGCAATTGTCTACGTATACTATATACCTTCTCGGAAGATGAAATAATTTTCTCGGACAGCGTTCTAAATGCTTTGCAGAAAACGTATAGATGCTAACAATCTAATTTTATCCACGGCAGTTGCCACGTTCTAGATTAAACTGGACCATTTTTACCAAGTCTAATAAATTGACCAGCGCACAAAGTTATTATTATAAAAACCACTTAATAGCTTTTGATAAACGTTAATGTTGATCTCGAACAAATGCACATGTCATGTCTTTCGATGATTACGCGTATAATCTTAATTTCCATGCATCACTTACTTAACCATTCCAAGTTACACCTGATGAGTTTATTGTGCCGTTTGAGAAAAATAAATTAAGTCATTAAATGCAATGTAATAATTACACGTTCATGCTTCGTAGATACGAAGGGTTATAATTATTGAATAATGATTTAGACAAGCATCAGTATGAATGACAGTACAAAGCACTGCTTAATCGTATAGTTTTTCAATACATATAATTATTATTTAATTATATTTTACTGAATACCCATGAATGCTAATACTAAGTGGTTTTAATGTGTATAATGTAGTTATCCTCTATATAATCTAGGCAAAAAAAACGCAGTATGTAATCGCATACTTTGAGTAATTTAATGATGTAAAAAAAAGGAAAAACTGCTTCCTCATTGCAGGAGGACAAGGAGCCTAAATGCGCCGAGCCCAATACAAAACTTTGGACCATGTGGCCGCATAATGAAAAACTCAGCGATGGTGATGTAAGTACAACAATCTTATGTGACGTTAAACCCTCATTAACGTTTAAGCACATCCGTACACTCCACACACTGCATCAATTGCGACGGACGTATTGTGAAATTACGGCGGAGAGCGCGACTAGCGCTGAAAAATAAAAAATTTTACGGCCACTTGGATTTGGCCGTCAAATCTCGGGGAGTAACGATAAATTGCGCGTATACGCGTGTACAGTTCGGCGCAAGCGTCCTTCCGCGATGGGTGCGATAAGTGTGATTTCTGACAGTAATTGCGCGCGCACATGTAATTATTGATAATTTGCGAGGACTTTTACCTCTACCGATATCCGCGTGTTTCCTCAATGAGACACGAGAGAGAATTGTAGTGGAACCTCTCGAGCATCTTGGAATTACTTATGCATTGAAAATTTTACCGGACGCCTTTGCTGGATTTTTACTGCCTTCTAATGAATCAGGGGTCGAATAGCGGACACGTGACGTGAAATCGCATGCACGTACATAATAAGTCGTATCGTGAGTTCGGGATTCAAAAACTGAAGTTCATTGCATCTTTGAATTGATTAAACTTAATGATAGAATATGAAGCATTAAAACAGATAATTCGTCACATTTTTATTTGAAATAGAGATTGACTTTTAGTTATATACGGTATTGATTTCATTACAAAGTGGTAATAACTAGATTATTTTTACGATTTTACGACACTGATATCAAAGTTGGAAAACACAAAAAACCAAGAATATATATTTGAATATATATGAATGAGTGTATGTAATAGTAGAAAAAAAAATTGAGATATCAACAGAACTTTAAAAAAGCAGCTTGAAAACGGCCATCCAAATTCGATATTAAAATGTCTTTCCTTTTTATCCGCTTCGTGAAAACAAAAGCTACCGCAACTTATTCAAAAATTTATACCACAAGTATTTTAGCTAACTGCATAAAATGACACGACTGAAAAAAAAAATTTCATAAAACTGTATCGAGTAAAAATAAGAGTAAGAAAGTAACACGTGTCAGAATCAGAGTAACATATTTACGGAATAAAATTCCAAACGAAATTAGCAAACAATTCACAAAAGCTTGGGGAGAAAAAAGCCTCCGTCACTTTCGTGCTTACGTGGACATCACGTGTGTCTTGGCAAAGCGTTGATTGTTTTCAAAGGGAGTAATCAAAAGCGTCCAAACTTCGGATTAACATTACAACGGCAATGTCGTAATCACAGAAACGATTGCTATTGAGACGTAGGGAATGAGACTGATATCACGTATCGTATGGAAACTATGCTTAAAAACTATTTATGTGTGTGTTTTTTCGTGTACATATTCCACGTATGTCAATTGAGGCAACCTCACGCAAGTATCACACTTTTTTAATACTGCTCATGAGTTAATGACATGCAAAATTTAGGTATAAATGCTAAAATTGCGGCGAAAAGAACAGTTAAAAGTATAATCAGCTTTAAAAAAAGGTCAAGCACGAGATCACGACACAAAAATACAAAACTTAATGTTTTTGCGGTAACCAAATTGCGAAACCAAAAAGGTCACAAGGATTTCTTTCTTGTGAGTAAACTTTTTACTTGCTTGAAATAAATTTAAAAAAAGATGTCAAGAAAATCGAGAAGAAAATAGACCCTATTCCTTTAAAATTAATCGACAGTAAAGCTTTTAACGGTAAAATCAAATCTGACCACGAGGCTACGTATAGGCTATGCATGGCTTCGATACAATTGTTTATACACAAATGTCATAAATAAAATCAAATAAGATAACAACTTTCGAGTTTATAATTTTTTTCTTTATGAAAATTAAATTTGAAAATTATTGTATTGTACTTTCATTTGGAAAATTGTGGCTGTATTGCTTGGACTCATCACCAATTATTTACCTATAATTTAAGCATTATACTTTCAGCTGAGTATATTCAATAATGTTTTCGATAAACATCTTACGTCAAAATAATACTAAAAAAAGTTTTATCACGAAAGTATTTTTGAAAACATCTAATCTCAAATAAAATTACAACTAGAAAAATAATATTTTTAAAACAAAATGTGAGATAACCGTTTTTTAAAACCACTTTCGAAATAAAATATTTTTTTAACCCGCTATCGATGAGTTAAAAATACACGTAAACCACATTTTATGTAAAATTTAAAAAGGATGTAACTCATGTGGGATTATATTGTTTGTCACTTGTGACACATAACATTACATATATAAAAACTCACAGAGCTCGTATATTGATATCCTTCATGTGAATCCCAGCATTACGAGGCAAAGGCGTACCAATTAACGCGGAGATCAATATTTTACTTAATTCTAAAGTTAATGAACAAGATATCAAACCTTCGAAAATCACCTTCCCCATTGGCCACTGTCGAATGGAACTCAACGACGATGCCAGCAAATTATACACCGCGCGTATGTATGAAATATTCAGTGCGCCTAGACAGTACAATTATACCAACAACAAAAGTAATCACCGGAGCAATTAATTGTACATTATGTCAATAGTGTTTTTACGGAAAAAAAAAGATCTTTCAAAACATACGAGGCCAAGAAGTACGAGTGACAGACAACGCGCGTATATGACGTGTACACGCAAATATGGATAATAAGTTGTAGTTGTATATATCGCGGAACGGATAGTTATATGGGATAATAATACTACGACGCTCGGCATGATAAGCCCGTGAGGCGCATGCGCGCAAGTAACATTAAAACATCGGGCGGCTATTGTTTTTCCTGCGAGAGTTAAAAACGCGCCGCGAACCGCAACACTCAGTATGCGCGGAACTGTCGTCGACACGGGGTAATCACGCAACTCGGGCTCGTCTCGCTTTCGGACGTCGGGGCCGGTGGTGGGACCCAACTCGAGTGATTGACTTTTTTCCGCGGTTCTCGTACCTTGGGCTCTGCCGCGACGAAGAAATGGTTGCCACGAAAAAGGAAAAGACGTCGGGAGACCAGCAAACTAGCTATGCCCTGTACGTGATGTCGGCTAAGTGACTTTTCACAGTTTTTTTACGATTTTTTATCTGATCATACAAAAGTTCATTCGTGTTTCACTTTTTTTTTTTTTTTTTTTTTTTTTTTTTTTTAAAAAAACAAAAGAAAAAATTTTTTTTTTTTTTTTTTTTTTTTTTTCATAACAAGCCAAGGTATACAGATGTTTTTTTTCTTCATTTTAATTATTTGCAATGAATAATCATGACAGTGTGGTACAGTTGAAAATAAATAATTTGTGTACAATTAAAAACAAAGCGTAGAGTCAAAGTATGTCAATGGTGCTGTTTAACATTAACTCCGGAAGTTCGCGGTTTTTTTTTTTCAAGTGCAGGATTGTCTTTCTCCTTGTAAATACTTGTAGGAATTGGTATCAGTTTTCGATATCAGCCAGGGATTTCATTCACGAATCATCCCCTGTCTCCAACAACACGCATAATCGATTCTGCTGTCCAAAGTCACGTAAGCGCTCCGCATCGCGTGTAACGTATTCCGCGCAATCGAAGCACTACAAAAAAACTTTAATAAGTGCGATCCGGTGCTTTATTTTCCTCGGATCGCGATCCAAAGCCGGAATCGCGTGTCATTAAATTGTAAAATTGCGTAAATTGCCCTCGTCTCGTTTTGCGCGCTCAGGGAAAATGATTAACCCGTCCCAGGTGACTAGAAAATTAAATGCCGAGCAAGTTGATGAGATGCTCGGCGTGAGCTTGCAAGTTTTCAACACGTGTGCGCACGTGAAAGATCACACACGAGATTTAATTCATACGTGCAAGTGTGGAAGTAGTGCGCCTCTAATCGTCCGAATCGAGAGAGCCGCTGTGAGTGCGTCAGTCCTTTGTTGGGAATTTTATATCGAGCAGAAGCTGCGTTCGAGATTTATGATCGTAATTTGTTTTTGTTTAAATATTTATGAGCATCGACAATGGCAGGAAAATGATACACGCGTGAACTTTGTCTTGAAGCGCATCGACTCGGCGGGATTGTTGTTGTTTTTTTTCTCAACTGTAAAAGTTGAAAATTGTCGCGTCGCCATGTCAGTAATAAAATAGTACAAATGTAAAATATTTTTTAATGTTTTTGTTTTATAAACAAAACACTACTATACACTACAATTTACCATCTCATTTCGGTTTATCACTAAAAATAGTTAATCATAACTATTTTTGATAAAGATTCATTTAAGTTTTTAATTGAATCAATCACTGATCTCCTAGTCGCACCACACGTTTATCATTTGTCGTTTAAAGACACTCAAAATCTACATCCGTACATTTATACATATCCCAACAAAAATAATTCCAAACAACAACTCTATTGACATTCAAAGCCAAACAAAAACACAATAAATAGCCCAAGATCCCAGTCGCGAGTTGACATCCACGATCGATTAATCAAATCGCAATTGTTCGATCATCCGCAGGACCATCCAAGATCCAGCCTCGCAGAGGCTGACCTGGTACAAACCGCCGCTCACTGTCCTTGTCATCAAGAAGGTCCGTGATTCGTCGGTGTTGCCGCCGTTCGTGCAACTCGTCACATGGCTGATAGAGGTGAGTCTTTTCTCTCTCTCTCTCTCTTTCTCTGTAACAATTAACCACGGCCCTCGAAGAATCATCATTAACAACCCTGTAATTCACGCCACCCAAAGATTTCCGCGACTTAATGCATGTGAATTTCAGCCACGCGGTCGCGACCCTTTGTGGTGAAACTAAATAATGTTTAATCATCAGAGCCTCGTGTGATTCATCAGCTGCACGTGGCACTGAGAAAAGAAGAAAAACGTATTTTTTCCTTGCTACGGGCTACTGGTGATCGTCGATTTTTCAGATTACCATCGAGTGTTAAGAGTCGTAAATCTTGTAGATTTTTTTTTTTTCGTATGTGAGTTAACAACCCGTTATTCCGACTAGACGAGCGCTTAAAAAAAAATGAAAAACAAGCTGCCAGAGAGGTCCTCGTTTTTTCTATGATCTGTCAAAATTTCAACCGTTCGGGCGGTCCATTGCTACGCCAGACACAAAGTCACTTGACGTTTTCATAAACAAGTCGATGAAGGAGGGGAAAAAAAAAAGTCAAAAGGAATCCTGAAGTCACGCGTTTTTGGTTGATTATACAGTGCTTCGTGGAATTGCAGGAAAAGCGCATGCTGGTGTTCGTGGAGGCCTCGGTGTTGGAGGATCCGGCCTTAGCGAGGGACCACAGGTTCCAAGGAGTCCGCGACAGACTGCAGACCTTCAGAGACGGCACAGACGATCTCCAGGTAATTATGGTCTTTATGGCGGATTTTTCAGGCTCATGGACGTTCGCTTCGGTTATGTCGTGCCTTGCCATTGCTGGAGGTACATTTAAAGTACAAGCACCTATGACCCTGTGCTCAAATTGTTATGGGACCTTATTATACTTCGTTGTCATGGGTTTTTTTTTTTTTTTTTTTCTTCTTTCTCTTAACAAGTTCACAAAAAAGTTAAGTACTGATCAAGCGGAAATCATTTGTACAATCTGAATTTCACTGAGATTATATTTAAACTTTGACGACGATTTACTGCGGAAAATTCATCGTTTCTAGTTTTATCAAATCTTTAGACTATATTTTGTCATTGCATATATCACTGAAAAATAAATCACAGATCAAAAATTTCAAATACCTATTATATTTTTTTAAATTTTTATTTACGCAGATAAAAAGAAACGGCTATCGTTAACTATACACTGTATTAAAAATTTAATTGATTGATTATTTTTTATAACAGTGGTATAATGTAAATTATGAAATCATGTGTTAGATGTATTAGTCGTTTATGAAATTGTACAAGTTATTCGGTTCATTGTGCTTAGTGGTCGGGGCATTCGATATCTCGCTTAAGTAAGCAGTTTTCTCGATAACCCCTAAACTACGCGTGCGCATTATTGCTATTTTTGGTTATTTTATAGGGATTATCGAAAAAAACTGCTTACTTAAGCGAGGTATCGGATGCCGCGATCAGACCCCTGATGGGCGAAGGTGAATTTAACAACGATTGAGGCTATCATAGCACATTTGCTACTAATTCGTGAAACGATCTTTCATGAATCACTGCTCGCCATTAGTTTATCTTTCATTCGGAATATTTTTTCAAGTGATACGAATTTCTTAAGAAACAAGGGATTGCACATGCACAATAAAGTTTCCGAGCTCACACCGAGACATTTCGAAACTTCCACTGAGAGAAAAAGATAACAAAAATTATAGAGAAATTCCAGCAACAATTACCATTGTACACAATAAATCGGATACAAGTTGGCAAAAAAGGAAAAAATTATTATTTAATTTTAGCTGGAATTTACTTGCTAGCTTTCCTCGATTTACTGTACAGACTGGTAACTTTTACTGGAATTTCTTTACAATTTTCATCATTTTTTTCACTCAACGTCTGAATGATCTCAATTCACATTTGCCAAAACTTTGAGTCGAAAGTCCATTACGGAGTCATCCTGACGACGACTCAAGACTAACGATTGTTTTAGGATCGCATCGACTTCATCGTCTGCCTGGGCGGGGACGGAACCCTCCTGTACGCCAGTCTCCTGTTCCAGCAGTCAGTCCCACCAGTCATGGCGTTTCACTTGGGCTCCCTGGGCTTCTTGACGCCCTTCGAGTTCGACAACTTTCAGGAACAAGTCACAAACGTCCTAGAAGGTATAGTTACGCAAGTTCTCACTCCACGTAATCCAGACAGAGAAGCGAAAGTCTTTAAAAAAACACATCCCCATCCAGGTCACGCAGCCTTGACCCTGCGAAGCCGGTTACGCTGCATAATAATGAGGAAGGGCGAGGAGGGCCAGCCAGCGAAACAGCCCACCAACCTGCTGGTACTTAACGAGGTCGTCGTCGATCGCGGGCCCTCGCCGTACCTCTCCAACATCGACCTCTTCATCGACGGCAAGCACGTTACCAGTGTCCAGGGCGACGGTCTCATTGTCAGCACACCCACAGGCTCGACGGCCTACGCCGTGGCTGCCGGAGCCAGCATGATTCACCCCTCGGTCCCGGCCATCATGATCACTCCCATCTGCCCGCACTCGCTGTCCTTTCGGCCCATCGTCGTACCGGCTGGCGTCGAACTCAAGGTATGCTTTCGTTTTGCTTTTACGTTTTCGATGTGTTTACACTCTGGTAACGAGAATACATTGCTTTGAAGACATGGACAATGAATCCAATAGGTCTTAGATCAGAGATTTGCCAATTCTCTATCTATATCGATGTTATTGTTTGTGACTTTGCAGCTACAGTAAGGAGCTATTTTGCTTCTTTTAATCCAAAGCTGAGATATACAATATTTTACTGAGTGTAAATATGATGTCTGATTCGGTTTATATAAAAAATCCGACACTCATCTTAAAATTACTGCACCTTTTGAGCGGATAGAGTGTACCAAAATAAATAAATAAAAGAAAAAAATGTATTCAGCTACAAGCGTACACAACATCGATGTGCATTGAGAATATCAACAAATACTTGCGATACCTCGATTACGAGTGGTTACGAGATGGCTCTGAAGATATTTTCTTCCCTTGTGCGATGCCAGTCACTGCTTTCCAAAATGTTATGAAATTCCGCTTCTGCAGAGCCATGCACTTTTTTTCTCGTAAACTTTATAAATATCATGTCCAAAAAAGGTAGTAATAACCAATTAACACATCAATGATCGAAATTGTATAGATATCAGTATCACCGGACAGTAGAAACACGTCGTGGGTGTCGTTTGACGGTAGAAATCGACAGGAGCTCTTTCACGGCGACAGGTGAGATGCTTGAAAAACATTGAATTAATACGGAGATTTCTCTTGCTTTTTGTCTCGCAGATAATGGCCAACAGCAAGGCGCGCAACACAGCCTATGTCTCCTTCGACGGTCGTAACCAGCAAGAGCTACGCGTCGGGGACAGGTCCGTCTTGGGCAATAAAAGCCTTTTTTGTGCTTTTTAGATGAATTTTTAACGTCCTGCATACTCGCTGCTACCGTGATAGCTTTTTACACGCCTCTATTTCATCTATATGCCAAATTTCATTGACTTTCTTTTGCCACTTGGAAATCGCTAAAACACAATAACTTTTTTTTTTTTTTTTTTAGAATATCACTTTTAAGCATATGATACAAGATTATCTTTTATTCCTTCTTGGGCATGTCCAAACCAAATTTACATTGTCTGTAGAAAAAACTTAGTGGTACATACGTATAGTTTATCAAAGTCACGTTTCACGTACATTTACGCACTCGATATTTTCCAAAAAGTACTTTAACGAGAAAAGTATGTCTCGACGTCAAAAACAAAGTCATCTTTTAAATCGAATGATACCCGAATGAGACTTGGGCTGTGGGCCTTGGCTGTACAGGTGATGGGATTACTGTACATATTATTTCACCTTTTCATAACTTTATTCCTTTTTCTTTTACGATTAAGCAAAAAAAAATGCATGTCACGCTTTTTTAAGTCATTGAGTCAAAAAAGGTAGTATCTCAAGAAGCAATTTTTTTTGCACTGTCTCGATATCATTATCTATGCGATCAAAAGTGCTTTCCTATCATTCGATTTCTCTGTACAAAAAAAAAAAAAAAAAAAAAAAAATTGAATCAACATAAGAAAATCTACTTTTTCAATGACCTAAAGGGAAGCGAACAAGGGAGTCTTTGACCATTAATTTGACTGTTTCACCTGAAATTATAGTTTGAGAGTGACAACGTCGATCTACCCGGTGCCGTCCATCTGCGCGGCAGACCAGATAACCGATTGGTTTGACTCGTTGGCCGAGTGCCTGCACTGGAACGTCCGTAAGAAGCAGAAGCACCTCGACGAGCTGAGCGATCTCACGCACTCCTCCAGCAACGACACCCTCGACTCTCTCGATCGCGACAGCTAGAGAAAACGCACGTGTCCGCGACTCCTTGGTGGAAAGAGAGCGGGAAGAACGAAGCCCTGCGAACTCAGCTGAGATGTTGCATTCATTCGACGAAGAAAACCGCTTCGGTATTTTATTTTTGCGGGCGATTTTTTTTTTTTTTTTTTTTTTACAAACAAGACACACATTTGCTGAAAAACAGCCGATCGAATTTTTGTAAATTTGCTGGGGTGGAAAATTTTTTTCATCTTCCGTAGACATAGTATAGGGTTACATTTGATACAAAGAGATACAGAGTAGCTAATGTGCACATACTATACATACTATTGAAATTTTTTTTTTTTTTTTTTTTTCTAAGAAAGATAACAAATTTACGCGTAGAGCGTTCCGATGAGGAGAAAATGCGAACGGAAGACTCGAGGGTCCTTTCATGTGAGGAAGTGCAATGAGAATATACATATATTATATAAATATTATATTGTATCCATACACAGATTTTTTTGAATGTTGCTGTACACGTGGTTGTATAAATGCAGGAGAGAAAAAAGAAATGAAATCATTATTATCACTGCGAAAAAGTTTTAAGGAATTTTCATGCACGGTTCGAGCGAAAAAACTGTACACGCTGTTTGCCGAGCCGGAAGCTACAATATGACAATATTATATGAACGGAGGATCATGTTCCTGCGATGTTGAGTAATACGATGGGAGAGATGTTGAAACAAATAATGAAAAAAAATATATATATATATCTATCTAGTGGGTCCACGCGTACACACACACAAAGTAGGATTAACAGATTTATCCATTGTCATGTTATTTCGTACCGATGCGAGACAAAGAGGTAACACCTTCTAGATGAAACTTGTTGTAAATGTTGAATCATATTTCCTATATTCTTTTTAATAAAAGTAATTTTTGTACATAACATTTTGACTTGACTCTTCATTATGTACCTGTTAATGGATACGCAAAAAAAAAAAAAAAATTTGACAGTCCGACAGGAGGAAACAACGAACGATCATTACCTCTCAGGTTATCCTTCGAATCAATTATTAAAACAGTATCAAATTCAATGCTATCCAGAACACAGGAAGTCATTATTAAAAAAAAACCGATACATGAAAAATGCAAAAAAAAAAAACAACAATACCAGCGCTCATGTCGAAGGACTGTAAACAGAAGAAAGATCCGTACAATTGCACGCAAGGTGAACCCGATCGATTTCACCAGAGAAAAAAAAATGAAAGAAAGAAAGATTAGATGATCATGTACGTACGCGCGTGCCAGTCCCTCACTCGTATGTTATAGATATCCGTCTCGTCCGGCCACTCGTTTTATTGTAATACCAAGGCCGCAGTCGCTCCATTATTCGCCGATTTTTCTTGTCGCGCCGATATTACGTTCACGGCGTCCGCTATACACCGTATAAGTCAAGTGTAACATCAGATGTTTTTTTCAGAGAAATCGGATAAGCGATTTTCATTTGTTTGAGCAAAACTCTATCAAATAAACGGCAAATTTTGAAAACACTACATAGGTACTTATTCACGTGAACTCGGAAAATTAATGTGGTATAATAGATTAAGCAGGAAGTTGAAAAGCGAAACAATCCGCACATAATGGATGACACCTGCGCGCCCAATTTACCCTTGACTCGCAAAAAAAAAAAAAAAAAAAAAAAAAAACAGCCAAAGCAAAACACCGGCAAATATATAACAATGAAGGCAAAGCGCGTTGATTAACGCACGACTGCGCCGGAACAAATCTCTTAAATAATGCCATACAGCTCGTTCGAGTTTCTCTTTCTTCTTATGTATGAGTACGCATGTCTCCTTGTGGCGGTTTATCTACAGTGCACGCGTTTGTGTTAATCGAGGGTTTTTTCGCCCCATGCCCCTCGAAACCGGGACGAACGCCGGCTTCTATGGTTACCTATAAAATATGTTATTTGCAAGAAATTTAAATTTAAATGCAAGTGTGCGACGCGGATCGGACTCGGCGACCTATTTTGCTAGTAGTAAGCTACGTTGGGCGTGGACAAGTTGTCTGTGGAATAAGGAAAGACACGAGCTCGTGACAATCATCCTTTTAACAGCACTTATAAAGAACTTCTTTTTTTTTGTTCAATATTTCAGTGAAAGTTTTTATAAAAAACTCGGTTGAAAACCAAATGTTATGTGCAAACTAAAATTGAATGTATAATTCAAATAGTGCCATCTTTTACAAAGTTTGTGAACTACTGTGATAAGCCAAGAACGCCCACGCAATGAAACACGTATGGACGACGCCATCTTGGTGAGCATACAAAACCGGCGTCTAACAGCAGAAATAAGTAGGCTGACAGTGCACAGCAGATAGTCGAGCACGAGGCAGGCCACGAGTCGAGCTGTTGTGACATAAACTCCTTATATTGAGGATAATAAAGCTACAGTACAAGTAGATCATTAGATATAGAAATATTTATATACTGTGAGGAGCTGGATCATCAGTCGGATTATATTAAAAAAAATTTTTTTCAAAAGTACTTTTTTTTTACAGTGTAAACGTTCTGGGAACGATAATAGTTATTTTAAAGGTATTATCCGAAGCCGTTGATCAATCCTAGAAAAACATGGGGAAGTACAAGATTAAGGTTCGTAAATACATATGTCGAACGTAGCTAAATTTAAATTTTTGTTTGCACAACTCAAATATATCAAACAAATTGCATTTGAATCAACACGAAATATTTTTAAGCTTATATTTACACTTTGATTAAAATTCAACGATTTGTTGGCTGCTCGTGCGATTAAATTATAAAAAAAAAAGCGATAACGTGAGCGAGATAAGAATATCATTGCAATATTTACTCAATAAATCACCAAATAAACATAAGTAAATTCAACGAGGACAAATAAAAAATTGCAGATAGGAATAATCGGAGGCTCCGGCCTGGAAGATCCAGCGAATCAGTTTTTCAAGTCCAACGAGGTGTTCAAAAATGAGGACGCGAAAAACGAATTCGGCCTGCCGTCGAGCCACCTATGTCAGGGTACCATTGCCGGAATTGACGTCGTACTACTTTCCAGGTAAAATCTACACCACATTTTATCGGTCCCCAGTGTGAGATACAAAAGCATGTCCGATTAATTAATTAAAGGCACGGGTCCGGTCACAAAAAGGCCCCCACTGCGGTAAACTACCGCGCGAACATCGAAGCTCTTCGACTCGTCGGTTGCACGCACATCTTGGCCTCGACAGCTTGCGGATCGCTGGCCGAGTCAATCGGTCGGGGACAGCTGGTGATACCCGACAGTTTCATCGACAGAACCGTCCACCGAAAGAACACGTTTTACGATGGAACTTCGGCAAATTTTTCGGGTAAGCTACGTGTGATGAATACTTTTTTTAATTCGTAGGAGGATTTTGGATGAAAAACAAAAAACTAAAAATCGAAGAAAATTGTCGAATTTACGTACAGGAGTGTGCTATGTACCTTGCGAGCCAGCCTTCGATCCGCGTGTGGCAGATATTTTGGAAAAAGCAGCCAAGGAGTTGGACATATCGGTGAAAAAGGGGGCGACCGTCGTGACAATCGAAGGGCCTCGCTATTCCTCGAAAGCCGAGAGCAACATGTTCCGCCAGTGGGGAGGCCATTTGATAAACATGACGACTTGTCCGGAGGTGTGAACAAAAGAAATATTCTCATTATCATTTAAAAATAAGTACAATGTACGAGTCGACGATGTCGATTGCAGGTTTATCTAGCGAAAGAGGCTGGTTTGCTCTACGCCGCGGTGGCGATAGCGACGGACTACGATTGCTGGAAGGACTCCGAGGACATAGTGTGCGCTCCTGAAGTGATAAAGGAGTTCAAGAAAAACGTCGGTAAAGTCACGCAGTTGATCGTCAAAACTGTCGAGCTGATCGGTAAAGAAGATTGGGATCAGCAAATCGACGATTTGAAGGTGCGCCTCTTTAACGATTGAATACTTACCGATTAATCATGACCGATCAAAAGTAAAATTCCCTTTTATTCATTTCTGCTTACAGACTGTGCTGAAAACCAACAACATATCTCACTAAGGAGCACGGAAAACGTCGCATTAAATACTTCTTATTTTTACAGCGATTTTGCATTAAAAAAAAAACTCTTCATGATGCCACAGCTCGTTTTTTTTCTTCCCTCATTTTGAAGAACCATAATTGCCCGAGAAAACATCATTGAATTCACCTGCGACCAAGTGGCAGCGGTTGCGTAACACGAGATGCGTTCGAGGTTCGAAAAGAGATAAAATACATTATGTTTTAAAAAAAGTCCCATTGAAACGCCTCTTATCGTTTCCCGAGATTAAAGCTATGTAACGAGTTTTGTGACCCGTAGCGCTTCGATGAGTACATATACCTGGTACACTCTACACGCAGATAGAAATCTCGGTGACTGCTGCTCCTACTACTTAGTATACATCAGCTAACGAGTCGCCATTAGTTGTCATCAGCGCGGAGGAATTCTATGTAATTCGGTAAATGTGATTTTTTTTCCCTCAGAGCAAAAGTCGTCGAGCTATACGCGTTCGGATAATGACTATCATTAACACAAAGCGACGATGAGGCTGCTCGGGGGGAGAATCGCGTTGACATCATCGGCGTCACCGGACGACGAAACTCGATCGCGTCTAAATTGCTTCTCCCTAAAACTGGTTGCGTTCCAGTTGGTCATGTAAATCAAAGACAACACCAACTGTAAAACTCGAGTACGTGACTTGCGCATCTGATATCTACACCACACGACACTCGAAACATTTTACGTTCCCATGGAACTAACTGATGTAATGTAATTCCAACATTTTTATGGCTCCACAAATTTAAAGGTATCACTATGGATTTTTTTCAATTATTATAATCTTATACACGAAACATTATTTTTTTTTCTACTTTTCTATACGCAGAAACCCAATGAAAAGATGAAATTTTCGGAAAATTCTTTTGACGACCGAGTGACAAAAAAAAGGACAGGACATTCTGAAATTTATCCCTCGCGTATACGATCACCAATAACTTTCTAACCACAAAAGTGACCGGCAAAAAGCTGCAGTGTGTATACCGGGACATTATATTTAAATGCGCCCTCGTTGGCAATAATATCAAAGTGTACCCTTGTGCAGCAGAGCGCCGCGAGAAACCATTTTAAATCAAATCGATAACGCGGGCGAGACGAGGAGGGCAAGAAAAAAAAAGGAATAATCGAGTTTCCTCGAAAAGCGCAATTAAGTCAATTAAGGAGGCGTACGTGCCCCGAGCGCGTACACGTAATGTTACACATGCACGTATATTATATGTAAAGAGAGGCGCGCAACGCGAGCGCGGGACTTTCGAAAAAGTGGTTACGCGCGCAGCTAGACCGCCGGTGTGGATCGCGAATCGGTGGAGAATAAAAGCACAGCTGCCCGCGAGGTTCGCCTTGCGGTACCTATGCGTATAATGGCCACAGTGTGTGTTTATGCGAGGTGAAATTTCTTTTCTCCGTGTGTGGCATTTTCTTTTTTTTTTTTTGTTTTTTGTGAAATTTCTTATGGTTACGCGTGTGAATACATATTTCATACACGTCAATTCAGTTGCATCACTTAAAAGTTGTTTTTTTTTTAATACGAGAGGGATCATTTGCACCATTAAAAAGCGTAGGGACAAATATTTTTCAAGTCACGTTTGCATTAAATATCATTGACCAGAGAGTCGTTCAAAATAGTCATATTATGGCCGGATAGGCTCAGTAATAACAAAGCCGGGTCGAGTAAGTAGTATCAATTGTTTGCTATCTCGTTGGGAGATAATGAAACGTGTCAATGATGAAATCGCACGAGTGGCCAAACGAGCTCGCGCGTAAACGCACACTTGGCACGATTGACCATTTAGATCGCCATTGGGATATTTAACTCAGTTGAATTTTTTTTTTTTTTTTTCTTCATCTACATCCTTCCGCCATTCATACGTACCTGAACATGAGATATTTTCGTGCCGAAGGATTTCGCATTACGTTTCTCGTTGGTCCATCAATAAAGACTGAAAGCTACAATTAAAACAGAAATAATACGGTGCACATACGTGGATTTTAGCAACATCAGTGATATAGGATATAAAATATGGTAGGACAAATCAATCAATTTCAAGTACACTTACTGTATGGATACAGAGATCGTGTGTAGCACATGCTATAAATGCGCAGTTTGAAAATTGATCTGAAAAAAATGGAAGGCGCAATATTGTGGCTTCACGGTGGTGTGTGTAATTATGCACTTACCACATGCCAATCCCGGTCCCGCACGCGTACACCCATGTGTGCGATTTACCGCACGATTATTGAGAGTGTAAAGTACAAGGTCTTTCTCTCCCCACAGTGTATATGCGTCCCTGTCTCCATTTTTATACATACTTATATGTGATAAGAAAGGAATGGAGAAAAACAGTGTTTACAAAAGAGACAAGGAAAAATCAAGACAAAAATGTTTTCTTTAATTTATATAACGATTATTATTATTATTACTACTATTCGCACCTTTATCTTTCTTTTCTTTTTTCTTTCTTCTCCTCATCATAATTAATAAATGTAACAAACGTAAATACAAATATCAAACTCGCTGACAATCTCTCCGTGAATCTCTTCAGCGCACTTACATCTACGAGCGTAATCATACTTGGAGGCACATACACGTTGCTATAATAATTATTATAAAGCGCACCCGCCTGATTAATATCACGGTAGTATCATAACAAACGCGGACTTCTTGCGAAGGTCTATATACCCATGCGTACATATATATGTGTATTATTTACAGGTTTATAAGCACGAGGATGCACGCGCGCGCGCGTAATGTGTATCGTGAGAGGGAAAGCGAAGTCGTGACAGGCTTTTCCCGAGTCTCTTATGTTTTTGTCGTTATCATCATGTCTTGTTCAGCCTCTTGCTTCCCTACTCTTTTTTTTTTTTTTTTTTTTTCTTCTCTCTCTGATGTCGAGTAGATTTACGCTTTTTTCTTTTTTTGCTCTGTTTAGACTCTCGCGAGGGACTAGAGAACCTCTTTGGCGAATGGCCGATACTTTTAATCAAATGCGACGATACGTTTTAAGGTTTTTTTTTTTTTTTTTTTTTTTAATTTTAAAAGATACAATTCACACTAAATTTATTTTCACTCATAAATGCATCGACACCAGCACTCGTAAGAGAAAGAATCGGACAATCGTTGCAAGTGAGATTTTGCACCAAGTCATTGCCAAATGTATACTATTGTGAAGCTATTAAAAAAAAAAAGAAAAATAACCATTTGGGAAGCACGTTGTCCGACTTTTTCTCTTCACACGCGCATACATTGTTTCGTCGTGTATTTGTTCGGCGTATGAATTTCGCGAATAAATACACACGTATATGTACAATTTACTTTACGTCAATATCGTTTTTTTTTCTTCTATTTCTAAATTTCGATCGTTTAGGTAATCTTCAACATTCCTCCGTTTCATTTCCTAACAATAAAAGCAAAGAAACTAGACCGTGACTCGAGCGCCAACTATACACTCTTCCCATCGGTGCTGAAATAATTAGTGCGAGTACTCGGTTAAACAAGTATATTTTATAAGACCATAGCCGGGGGCAAGAGAAAAAGAGTTTTGTATCAATTAACCGCGAGGAGGAAAGGAAAAAAAACGGGGAGGAGTACAGTCTGCGCTCGAAAAATCCACGATACATATAATAGCGAAATAATAGTGCGTATTGTTTTGCGCGATCGCCGATTTTTCCATGACTTTCATTCTCGCTTTCAGCACTTCTTGCATCAATTGTCGGTTATACACGCAGCGCAGTTACCCACACGTGGAGCCAGCAAATAACGCGATCGTGAGAATTGGTCGCTAATTTTCGACGATTCGAAAACGTCGAAGCTTATTATTATTATACTTGTTGTTTCGCATTTACTGTCGATTTACAGGCATGTGGTGTTTACGCTCGATTGTAACAATCAACGCTACGAGAAACAAAGGCGTCGCACAGTATACATCCTAATAAGCCGAACAAAACACTGTTAATACATACGTACATACATACACGTACAAATAGACATTAAAAAAAAAGGTTTCGTCAGACGTAACGAGTCACATGATACACACACGAATCGGCAAATGGTAAACACAAGAGCGTAAGATACATTCAGTTCCGTGATTTTTTCGTGACCACCTATTTCCTTGTCTTAAACATTCTCATTTCGGCTAATGAAAAAAAAAAAGGGCTCAAGATTGCGGATGTGCTTCTCGGTACGACTGGCTGACCCGAATGTACTAGAGAGCGAGCAAAGTAACGCGTGCGGGCACAGTACATATCCACGCGAGCGCGTATACACGCATGTAGACGGGAAATGAGCGCTCCTCGCGACGCGCAGGAAGCTGTACTCGTACGAGCGCCTACGCGAAAATTTTCCGGGTCGAGTAACTGCACTAGCTGTCGTGCGGGAGAACGAGGCTCCCCAAGGTCGCGGTCGTGTCCCTTGTATACAAGGTATTTTCTCTCGCGGTGTGTTTTCGTTTTTCCGATGGATCGGCGAAACATCGTCGGCACACTTGTCGGTCGCTCGGGAAAGTTGGAGCGTTTGTGTCACACGATGAAAAGGTTGGCGGTAAAGACCCGGTTTAATCAAGAAACGGAACAACGACACCTCGCGCAGGGCCCGGTCGCCTCAAGGTCTCCTCGGTTTAGAACGACCGTACCCACAACAGCTGCGGCCAAAGAAATTCCAACGGGCCTCTATATAATGATTCCGTTCGCGAAAGAGTTGCACTGTACACGGGACAACGTGTGCCACTTGCATTAAAATGAGCTTCCATGCGCGCATATACACGCCCGTACTTCTCCCCTCCGAGTCTCCTGTGTCGCTTATACACGTATTATAATACACACCCGCCGATTGTCTCTCTCCTGCGATTTTCATTTTTCACACTTTTTCCCGCGTATACAGCACGACAGCCAGTCATTTTCGTATGTACTTTCTAGCTGCCCGTATTTTTTTTTTTTTTTTCATTTACTATCTTGATGGCCCGTTTTTTTTTTTTTTTTTTTA